ACAGAGCTGAAACTGTGCACACTCATTTTTTCGACGCTAGAGAAAAACATAGGCCATTTTTTGCAACAAACCGGGTCCTTATATCGATTTACGGATTTGCTCACTTAATTTAAGAGAATGGAAGCTTAAAGTGTCCTGACCGAGCATTTTCCCCTAGTCATATAGGACTAGCGGTACTCATTTTGATCGAAGTTGGCAAGATGAGATGGCAAACCGAAGGTGTTTTTATGTGCAGTTCAAGTGCCTTATGCATTAATATTCTCCCCGGGGGGGGGGGGGGGGAGGAATTGCAGCTTCAAAGAAAGCTTCATATCCTGAAGCTTCAAATACCTGGATTTCACGCTGTCTACCTATCCGTAAGTATTCCATCACCCTTCATTAGAGGTATAATAAACAGAAGCAAGAAGCCGTGCAAGCCGCGTTTCAGCTTTTGGTATAACACCCTGGTGATCCTTAGCGGCCGACGTCTCTTCTTCAAAGTCGCTTTCCTTCTTTGAAGTATAGGAAAACCTCCCAAAGTTGCACAGCCTACCAAACCTAACAGTGCTAAGCATGTTGCTGATAAGTTATTGAATTATCGAATTTTTTGATAACTCCAACTTTCAACATGTGGTTCATCGCAATTTGCATGACTCCAGCACAGCATTTGCTCTCATCAGCAACATGCTTAGCACTGTTGGGTTAGACAATCAGTAAAACTTTGGAAAGTTTTCATTAACTTTGAAGAAAGAAAAATTGCTGAAGAAGAGACGTTTGGCTGCCGGGGGTCATTAGGGGATCATGGGCCAGCGAGTGTACGCCTAATACTACGCTTACATGTCCAAGTTTGCACTTAGTATGTGTAATCTTTTTGTAAAAGAATCGGCTTTGCTTGAGCGGCATTTAGCACGTAAGAATTCAATGAAAGCGTTTTACGCTGTACCAAATATTACGCAGCTGTTTTGGTTTTTGGCAAGACGCTTTAGACCATTCCCTTGTTAGGTCGGCCTTTTGAGAGAGAGGAGCGGACTGATATACGATTTTATGTCCGCTAAAGAAAAGTAAACTTAAAAGTAAAGAAAAGTAAAAGAAAAGAAAAGAAACTCAAAAGTTTGAACTGTCTGATGTTCAAGTCAACTCTTGAGCAAGCTTGGTGAAATATTCACACAATTCAACAGTATAAGCTCTGTAGCTTCAACGATAAGTTAAGGCAGTTGGCCACTACTAATTTTTCTCTATGAAATAAATAACATAATAATGGGAATTTTGGCAGGGTTTTCAGATTCAATTACATGCTAAGTTAACTTAGGCTGCAGACGAAAACGCTTCAGTATTTTCTTGAAAAAAAAGAATAACTGTGTAAAACCACATGTCAAAATTCACTGTCTTTTGCCAGGAAAGAGTACTTAGTGATTGTGCCCATTCTTAACAAAATCTGGTAGAATGCTCCTCAAAGAGTCAGGCTCAAAACTGCTTTCGCTATCTGCTGACACACTCTCAGGACTAGGCTCTGAGCTTTTTTTCGCATCAGTTTTGCAAGGTGGGCGCATCGAATAGTTGAAACTGGAATTTTGAAAAAGACTCAATTAAAACAGGTTCCTTGCCTACCATAATATTTCTTGCTTGTAATGCTGTTTTTATCAAATTGGAAAGATGAGTGCATATTTTGATGTTAGAAGCGTCCCAAGGTTTCATTGGAGAACCGCTCAGATTAAAGACAGATTGAGAATTAGCGTTCCAAGGCGCATTAAAGGCGTGCCCCACTTTTATTTCATTTGCGAATATGCTTATTTCATCTTCTCTTGGCCTAAAACGTAATACAGTCTTCTAAAAACTCAAAAATATGCTTATTTTTTGTGAGCAAATCATAGGTGCGATGGGGTGATCGGGGTCCCTCGAAAGTGAAGGGTGTCCCAGCTGATTTTGACCCCCAAAAGTGAAGGGTGTCTGACGTCGACCGGGGGTGGGAGGAATCGAAAAAATTTCAAGCGTCGACCAGGGGGGGGGGGTTGAAAAAATGGTGAAAATTAAAATTATCCAGTTTGAATGGTCAAATTCTCTAAACTGGATTTGTATGAAATATAATTAGTGAAATTAGTATGAAATTAATGTTTATAAGTATTTTGTTTTGAATTTATATAAATATTATTTCATTTTCATACACCATTTTTCGGTGAGAAGATGCATGTTTAGGTGGGTGGAACGTGTAATGTTGTAAATGTGATTTTGACCGAAAATTACAATGGACAATGGCAGATACTCGAGGCTTGGAAGGTGCTGAATGAAGTTTTACCTGGAACGTATAAATGTGAATAATGTTAATAAGAGACTCCGCGATGATTAGGAATTACTGTTGCAAATAAATCCGTAAGTCGGTATCTATGGAGTACAATAAAAAAATTTGTTGCCCAACTGTGTCCACTTTGAGCAGAATAAACATACACAGTGCACATGATAAGACTAGTATAACTGATGTCAGGAGAAATTCCTAGGGCAGTAAAGTTGAAGCTACGATGTTGGCGATAACTGAGCAAGGTCACTTTTTCTAACTTGTGTAACTTGCAGTAGATCGCTCTCTAGTATAACTCTTGTATAAATGGGCTAAAGCCAATTCTGAACTAGATTCGAATTCTGGCCTTCAGAAGCTATACAACGATATATAATTTGTGGGGTACAATATCTTTGCCAGCTGAGGTAGTTTTCATAGCTCCAACGGTACCCCCCCCCCCCTCCACGTCAGAGCCCCATATCTCCACGGTGGGGGCATTTCATGATTTGATTTTTTTTGCATCTTCAAGAGGGAGGTCCATTTAGTATTACCTATACCCTCGCAAAGGGATTCCACGGGACCGACTAACTAAAATTCAAAATTTACCTGTGTTTTTCAAGCGCCTTTTATTCCCTGCTGTAACTCTCCATTAGTACATTCGATCTCTCTGCGAGGGTATAGGTAAGACTCAGTAAACCTCCCTTTGTAAGATGCAAAAAAAAGTGTAGCATGGAATGCCCCCGTCGCCGAGATATGAAGCTGCAAAGAAACCCATCAAAAATCGATTTTTTTGATATAACTTTTGCATAAGTGAATAAATCAAAACGGCGATAGTATAGGTGGATTCGTCTCGTCAAGAGCTTTCGAATGATATATAACATGTGAGGGTAATATGTATTTTAAGCCCTGCGAGGGGGGGTGAGCAGTCTCAGTTAAGCCTGCTCACCTCCCGGCGCCTCTCTAATGCATTAAGGTGGCGGGGGGTGAGCACCCTGAACTGAGGCCGCTCACCCACCCTCGCAGGGCTTAAAAAACATAGGACCCCCATATGCTATATATCAATCGAGACTCTTGAAGATTAGAATCTACCTATACCCTCGTATCTCAAATTCGTTTACATATACACAAGTTATTTGCGAAAAATCGATTTTTGGAGTTGTGTTTTCTGCTCTATTTGCGACTTCGTAATTCTAAGAGGAATTCTTTTTAGGATCCAGTTTTTTTTCTATATGATAGAGGAAAGGTTACTTACTATCGCCTATACTCTCGCAAGATGATATTATGCAACTGACTTAAGTTATACTAACTCAAAAACTGACTTTCCTTAAAAATGACCAACACTGTGATTTCAACTATACTGCCCTAGAAATTTCTCCTGACATCATTTATACTATTTTTATCATTATTCTGGACTCTATATGTTTATTATGCTCTAAGCAAACACAAATGAACAACAAATTCTTTTATTGTAGCACATAAATACCGACAAAACAATTTATTTGCAAAAAATTCATGATCAAATGGCTCTTATTAACATCGCTCACATCAATATTTTCCAATAAAGCTGTCCATCAGCGCCCTTAAAGCCTCTTAATGTCTGCCATTGCCCGCTGCCCATATCGTTGTAGTTCGAACCCATTTTTACAACATCCGATCCTTCTAAAAACGCATTTTTTCATTCAATATTTTTGTAATTCCGTGTGCAGTAATTCCTCACCTTGAAAAATTTTTTCGTCCCTTTCAGGTGAAGGGGGGGGGGTGGTCCGACCTCCAAAGTGAAGGGGGGGGGGTGAGCTTTTGCTCACCCCATCGCACCTATGGAGCAAATTGTCTTCCAAGTCGGATTTTGGTGTTTCGTCATTGCCAACAATCTCATTAAGGCTACTTAATACTACCACGTGATTTCTTGCGACGTTGCCACAGGATTAACCTAATGTGCTTCGTATCCTTCTATGACAGTTGCTTCCATTAATTCGAAGATTATTGGAGAATCTTGCCGTTTTTTGGATTTCCAGAGTAAGGGCATAAAATTCATAAAAAGATCATTGCTGCACCAATCATAATAGCATTGAAGGTTTGCAAGAACACAGCGGTCTTCTAGCTATATGCCACATTGTCAATGCCGGTCCTTGCAGAGAATGAAAATTTACAGACTTAATTGATGAAAGAGAATGAGGTTCATTAACTGTTTCTCCATGAAAGAAAAAAGAGTAAATTGTGTAAGGCCCCGGGTGGAGTTCAGCGGTTTCATCGCCTCGCGATTCTCCAACAGGGCAACAATTACGAGTCCATTACATGCCGACCATCTTGCATTTCGGTTGTGATAGTTTTTCCAACGATTAATCATGAATAACTATCACAACCGAAATGTAAAATGATCGACATGCAATGGACTCGTAACTGTGGTATTGTTTAGAGAATCGCGAGTCGATGAATTTGCTCGAACTCTGCCCGAGGCCAAAGTTTACATGGAGGGGATGAATAAGCATTGGAAGACATGGATCCCACTCTTTCGTGCTGAGTCATTCCCTAAAGCGTGATTTTCTTCCTCAGCATAAAAGATTATCGGAGGCAGCATTACAGATGGTCTGACCTTAGTGCGCAACATATAAGACGATTTCTTCTGCGACAACCGCGAAATCCCTTCAAATCCGCTTACCATAAAGAGTGACTAATGAGACGTCAAGTAACTTGTTCTCATCGCTCAATAAATAAGGAGTGTATCACTTTGCTTTTCACTTTATTGTCATAGAACATGTACATCGTTCTAATTCTGCTCTCGTTGGTCTACGCAGTCGTGCCACAGGATCATGCTCCTATGCATCTAGGGCTTCATAATTTCAATTCCGTGACCGATTGCGTGTTGGGGCACTGGGGCCTTGTAAGTTTCACCATTTTGACGATATTCTGCTCGAAAATTTCATGCTTTTCAGAGATACAACAATTATGGATGCTGGTGCGGCAAGGGTGGTTCGGGTACGCCAATCGACAAAATTGACGAGTAAGTAAAACTACCAGTATTCGCAGTCATATTCATGAAAGATCACTTCTAGGTGCTGCCGGGCACATGACTGGTGCTACGATGCGGCTATGAAAAGAGGATGCTTCAAAAGTGAGGTGTATTTCGATGGGTACCAGTGGAGTTGTCAGAAGTTCGGAAATGAGAAGCATGCCATATGTAGCGGTGAGTGATATCGAGTTAGCCGCACGCATTCTCAGATTTTTCTTTTCGGGAAATACGCCGTCCTGCTCTGATTATCGCACTTCTCCCACTCAAAGCAGCGGCTCGGCAGAATGGCAACTTTGGGATATTCATCGTTCTTGGCTACCCCTGAATGAGCTAAGTCCAAGACTGTGCTCTGTAGCCAAAAGATACCAATAGCCCGCTTTTCCAGACGTGAAAAGTGCTGTTTGGGCGGGTCGCGAAAGTGGCTGCTGCAGCCAACAATCCAATTGCCATCGGGATGGGCACGGTATCTCCACTCATGATCCAATCGCGCTCTAGAGGGCAGGCATACGCCGACCGCCCATATAGCACTTTTTACGTCTGGAAAAGCAGGTTATTGATATAATTTGTATATGTATACAGTCTTGGACTTAGCTCATCCAGGGGAGCTGAGAACAATAAATGTTCCAAAGTTGTCATTCTGCCGAGCGGCTGCCTATAAGTTACCCAAGGCGTGACAAGGAGGAGTAAGAAATAGAAGCCAGAAGATATCATAAGCTCATAGCTATTTGTGCTTCCAAAAAAGTTGAACCGTTCGCACAAAGCGGATTGAGTGGTTTTGCTTGTCAAGATTTGTCAGCCCATCAAATGTTAAAAGTATAGGGTGAGGTGACGTGAAAAACTAAAATGACCCTAAGAGTTAGAACAATATTCGGTTGCATTCCTTCTTCACTTCAATCCTAGACTGATTTGTCATTTGATGCAGCAACAAGTGCTCTCAATCCCCGTCATCGAGCGCTAAATGATTTTGTTTCGCGGAGCTAACTAACTCAGAACGAGATGATAAGAGCAGGAATGAGATAAGTGCGGCGACTTCGTTCAGCACAATCTCCACAAAATTAATCTGCATTTACGTTTTTGTTGTATCAGTTGATATAATCTAGCTTGGCGTCTGGTATCCTTTCTTTAGATAAGAACAAAGGTTGCCACGCGGCTATTTGCAAATGTGACACTGCATGTGCTGAATGCTGGATGCATGCAACAAAATTTTATAAGCTTTCGAAACCCCCATTCTTCGGAAAGCCGGGTTGCCGCTAAAGGGCAATACGACACACATGGAGAACTGCTCATGGTTACTTAGTCTTCAAGATATTTCAAATGACTTTCCAAATTTTTCTCTTTTGATGATTGTTTATTCTGCAAACGTTCTTTTTTCAAAATTTCATGCAATGTCTCCTGACCTCCCATGATTATTTGCGTGAATGTTTCATGCATAAAATATTTGGCAGCATGTGTTGTAAAGAAGTATTCTACATTTTTTAAGCAGCTATAGACCATACATTTACTCAAGGAGTCGGATAAACATCTCAGTGCATAAAAAACCTTACTTTTTCTCTTAACAGAAATTGAAAAATCCCAAATCCAAGCTCAGTCTTACAATTCTACAGATCCCTTCTATTGAATCACTATTTCGAAACTGATCAGACTTATTTATTGATAAAAACTCAAACTCAACCTTTACAATAAATGGGTTTGCCGTTTTTACACGATTTTGGGGATAACAGTAAGCGCCGAACTACGAACGAGGAAATGTTTACTTGAAGGGTCTTCCAAACGAATAAGTGAGCGGCCTCGAACCTTGGCGTAGGCCTAGCTAAGATCAAAAAAAGCCAGACGCTTGGTTTCTGGCTATTTTCGTAATGTTAGCAATTCTCTGTTGCCCTCGGCGACGATTGTAGCGGTAAACAAGACACATCGGAAACAACTCGCCATGAATGCTGTTTTCATTCTTTGACCTTACGAGCAATACGAATTTCACAAAAATCGACCACTTCCCTTCAGCTCTGTCGAGCACATCAATACTACGTCCTTGATTTAGGCGAAAGAAAGACTGGACAGAAGGACGTGCTAGACTGAGCTGCAACCCCATCCTATATAGTGAAAGAAAACGAATTTGCAAAGGCCTGCAGTAATGCTCGCCCAGTTCAGATGATCTGAACTGAGGGTCTTTGCGAATATTTGAGGCCTGTAGCGAGCAATCCCTCGTATTATGAGAATGCTTCGTGACTTATCAATGAGCATCGGGGCAGGTGCTGTGCTCTTACCTGATTTCTGTAAGAGCAGCGTCCGTTTCGAGATGGTCATACTAGGTCATACTAGCAAGTCATACTAGCACCGCTTTCTTCTAGTCCACAAACATGGGTTTGAAATTTTACTTGAATTAAGTATTTGAACTCGAAAAATGCACAAGCCATGACGATGAATTGAAGTATTAGGTTGTTAACTAAGACCAATCGATTTCGTAGTTTTTTTCATATCATGTGGATTAAGTATGAGCTACCAACTGGCACAAACCGCTGCTTGATAACAAAGTAGAACGACTGCAAGCATTTTTCGAAAACTATTGAGGTTCGAGGATTCATTGGACTGTGAGCAACAATGAAGCGATTCGCGACCTAGAACACGCACAACAATCCGAAATTATATCGATTTGTTGCCAGAAGTTGATTTATCTAGACCAATGTATGGAATGGAATTTGATGATGAGTCGACTGGCGCTTTGACGAAGTTGAACGAGTGGCTGTACGCAAGGTTGCTGGAGGACAAGAGTTCGAAACCTCACCTCGGATCTGGCCGAGAGTTTGCATTTCCTGTTCGACTTGTCGAACAAGAGTATCGCTATTCTCATTTCATAAATTCGTCGTAATAATCTCACAAAAAGGGCCTACGACGTAAAGTCAGTAACGTTTTCTGATCATGGGATAACTCCTAAACCAAGCGTTTCAACCCCACACTGTGATGAAGTAACATTTTCCTGTCACCTACCGATACCTACTGTAACCATTACCCTGACTTCAGAATTTGGTGTTAACCAATACTGGATGCCACTACGTTGAAGGAATTGTTTATTCGGGAAACAATTCCAGTGGAATATAGATTTGGCGAGACGAGTCCAGAAGTGAGCATCCAGGTCTATTTATGCCACTATTTTGGGCGTGGCAACCTAGATGCTTCCTTCTGGCAAACAATAGTATCATACAGGTATCACTCGAAAATTATTGATGCTTACATGAAAGTAATAGCCGCCAAGTGTGCTATCAAGCAGCAATGGGGGGTGACCTTGGCGGCTTAAGTGTTCCACGCTAGGATGGTTTGTCAACGACAAGAATAATATACAATGTAAAATAATGGTCGATAATTATTCTATTATTATCGACAAAACGGTGCTACCATCGTGCTGAGGATTGCGAAGCAGTCTTCTTCTTCTTCTTTGGTTATGCATTCTATGCGGCGAGTGGGTCAATGTTGCTCGCGTCGATTGAGCCAATGTGGACCGTGGAACCATATGTGATCTTGGGCTTCCGTCCGTGAGAGGCCCCGTGTTGCATAATCGGCAACATTTTCTTCAGTGGGGACGTGATGGAAGTGAACATGTTGGTACTGTTCAAGACGTTCTCTGGTCAATTGTACCTTTTGCGTCAATGTGGTAACAAGAGACGGAAGTCGTTTCTTGGAGTGGATCCAAGCGAGGGCTATAGTAGAGTCACTGAAGAGATTTATCTTGTCGAACTTCAAGCCGCTCTTGGTAACGATGTATTCCAGCATATTCATGCCAATGAATATGGCTAAGAGCTCAAGCTTGGGGATTGTTTGGGTTGTTTCAATGGGAGCTACCTTTGACTTTGCACTATACAGTCTTGTGTAGTGTTGTTCTTCATCCGTTTCAGTCGTGATATAAGCTGCACAGGCATAGACTCTCTTTGAACTATCGACGAACATCGAAAGTGTGCGGGTTTTGCATCCTTCTTGTTGTGTTACTCGTCTTGGTAATGCTAGGATGGTTTGTCAACGACAAGAATAATATACAATGTAAAATAATGGTCGATAATTATTCTATTATTATCGACAAAACGGTGCTACCATCGTGCTGAGGATTGCGAAGCAGTCTTCTTCTTCTTCTTTGGTTATGCATTCTATGCGGCGAGTGGGTCAATGTTGCTCGCGTCGATTGAGCCAATGTGGACCGTGGAACCATATGTGATCTTGGGCTTCCGTCCGTGAGAGGCCCCGTGTTGCATAATCGGCAACATTTTCTTCAGTGGGGACGTGATGGAAGTGAACATGTTGGTACTGTTCAAGACGTTCTCTGGTCAATTGTACCTTTTGCGTCAATGTGGTAACAAGAGACGGAAGTCGTTTCTTGGAGTGGATCCAAGCGAGGGCTATAGTAGAGTCACTGAAGAGATTTATCTTGTCGAACTTCAAGCCGCTCTTGGTAACGATGTATTCCAGCATATTCATGCCAATGAATATGGCTAAGAGCTCAAGCTTGGGGATTGTTTGGGTTGTTTCAATGGGAGCTACCTTTGACTTTGCACTATACAGTCTTGTGTAGTGTTGTTCTTCATCCGTTTCAGTCGTGATATAAGCTGCACAGGCATAGACTCTCTTTGAACTATCGACGAACATCGAAAGTGTGCGGGTTTTGCATCCTTCTTGTTGTGTTACTCGTCTTGGTAATGTCACGGAGAAGTTAGTCATGCTCTTCACAATTGTGCTCCAGATCTCGCAGTCCTCTTTCGATAACTGATCGTCCCATCCTAACTTCTTCTTATGCAAGTCTTGAAGGAAGGTTTTTGCGTTGGTGAGGAGAGGCGTAAGTAATCCTAACGGATCGAAACAAAGTCCATTATCTGGCTGAGAACGAAACGTTTGGTAGTTTGTGTTTGCGTTTTCGAGGCGCAGACAAGACTTAAATGGTCGACGTTGCTGTGCCAGTTTAGTCCTAGCACTTTTATGGCATTGGAAGCAGCTCTATCTTGCGACGGGATTTTGTCGTTCACTTCAGGACAGTTGGAAAGGTAATCCCGGAGATTCATTCCAACTTTGCCGAACACGTCTTTGGATTCGAGATATTTCGCAAAGAGGTCTTCCTCGGTTTTCCCTTCCAGTATCACATTGTCCACATAAAGCATATCCGATATCTCTCGAAACGTATCGCTTGTGAAGGATTCAAGATGCTTCA